GCCCCGAGGGCAGAACTGAAAAATGCAGTATTTGAAAGTGGCGCCCGAATTGCAGCATGGCGCCAGTTGTCCAAAATCCTACGGTACCAAAAGGAGGGGTTTGGAAAAAGGGTGCCAGGCCGAAAACGGGATGCAGCCGAAACAGCAAAAGATAGACCAGGGATCGAGCCCTGGCGAAGTCCGTAACAGTCCTCCTCGGTGTCCGGTGTAGGCTCTCCCATGTGAACCGCTTGTGGTTGAGACCAAACGTCCTCGTCGTCGGCATGTTGCGCAACATTAGACTCACCCTCCGTCATGGTTGGGAGAATGGCCTCTAGGTCGGCCATTAAATCATGCATGGACGCTGATTCCATAGCATGGTCCTCAAGTCCAGCCTGGCCGTGTGGTGCCCCCTCAGAATGGGCATCATCAAACTTCTCAATGTGAGATGCGCTACCACCAGGTGGATTGCCGAGCGTCCCCAACTCCCCTAGCGACCATACCGCGACCAACGCAGAAGCAACACCATTAGCAACATCTCCGGTGCCCATCTCTCTGCGGACGGTAGGCGCTCTCCCTGTCCCCGCAACCCTAGATGATGGCGGTGACTTAGAACATAGTATAAGTTGTCTCTTGGGGTGCTTCAGACCCTTCCTAAGCCGCTGAAGCCTCACMCCCCCGCCATGCCCCTCTCAATCCTCGGCGTCGTCTGATGAGCCCCTGCCTGTCGGACCCTGTCTGTCATGGGCTCCTCGCATGCCCGGTATGTAAACCACTGCCCCTTGTGTGGGCGGAGTTGAGGTGCGCCCAACATGTACGGGTGGCAATGAGGTATGAGGACGTGGCACAACACGAGGGCTCCCCGATCCGTCCCAGCATCCCTCAACTCCAGCCCTGCCCCTCGCCGTGTCCTCGAATAAATCTCTGGCACCGCTGCGAACCTCCTTAGGGTCACTCCACGCGTCATCGTCATCCTCCGCATGTGGGCAACCACCACCGATGTGGGGGCGGAATCCCTCAAAGGTCTCCACTCGAGTTATCTCTCGGGTACGGCCTCAAAGTGGTGGCCCAAACCCCGAACACATCCTCCACGGGAGGCAGTGGTCGTGACCCACAAGCATCCCGCCGCCATAACTGCACCAGTGCATCGCGGGCCTCTTCGGGTATGTGTATGGTCCACCCCCTCGCAGACAGCGTCCTCCTCTTGGCCACCCTCGACATCAAAGATGGACTTGTCCTGAGTCCACGGAAGAACCAAACCGCCACCAGCGCTTTGAGGAGCCAAAAGTCGCGTGTTGGCAGTGATCTCGACCAAGTTCGCGACCTTCGGGAACAACAACTTGTTACACTTCTTGGTTTGAGTACTCTCGTGGATGACCCAGTTCCGCTCCTCGCTAGAGGAGCATGTCCACATGTACATGACACAGAGAGCGATATGTTGAAGCTCTGGAGCACAACCGCCATACTGTGACCACCAAAGACCGCACTCAACGGTCTCCTGCTCCCCAACACACATTGTCGCAGCGATGAGTGCCCGCTCCCCTCCCCATGAGCAAGTCGATGTACGCATATAAAAGTCCCGCAGCTACAACACAGCGTCTCGGTACTCCTTGCGCTGCTCATCAAACCCGGTCTGCGATAGAATGTACCGCTCTGCCTCCCTCACAAGTTGTTTCTCCTCATCCGATATCACGCCGTTGTAATACTGCATTGACCTCCTCATCAGACAGAGGAGGTAGGCCGCAGCATGCGCAGGCTCAGACATATGAGCGACGCGCTCCTACACGCACTTGAAAATCGGGTCCGCCAATCCATCTAGTGGTGCAACAGCCGCCTCCACATGCTCCACCAACCGCCCCACCCAGTGGACCACTCGAGACATGCATAACCCTCCGCGATCCATCTTGGGCAGCAGATCATAAGCCGGCTCCATAACGGCACGCAAGATGTTCATGGAATCCCACCACTTGCGATGCCGGATCTGCCACCGCACCCATCGCACAGGGGAAATGGACAAACAACAGCTTCCACCGCTAGTCTCCCTTTTCCACAATGTTTGTGGCCAGCCACCATGTCAGCCTGTGACGTGGATTGGCCAAGTGCCTCTGGATGCCACGCGTGCGTTAAGCGCTATCGCCAGATCGTTTAATCCCCTCACAACGTCCTCATGCCAATGCGTCCCCATGCACTAGCTGTCAGCACCATGCCACATGCATGAAGCCAACACCATACCATCTGCCAGTCGCCAGTGCCTCACTGCTTACCTGTAGCCAGCGCCTCGCCGTCCGCGAGCAACCAGCGCCTCGCCTCTCTCAGGGAGCCAGTGCCTCGCCAGCTTCGAACCACCAGCGCCCCACTACCAGCGCACAACCAGCGCCTCGCCACCGATGGCTGACCAGCGCACGCTGCCAGCGCCACACCTCCAGCACGCGCGTTGACGTCAGCATGTTCCGCCATTGCATGAGCGCTTACGCATGCAATCAATCAATCAATCAATCGAAAAAAAAAGGTGAAACAAAAAAGTGTGCGAGTGTGTGTGTGTGTGTGTGCGTGTGTGTGTGCATGCCCAGGGGGGGGACCGCCCAACCAATCAATCAATCAATCAATCGAAAAATAAAAGTGAAAAACAAAAGTGTGTGTGTGTGTGTGTGTGTGTGTGTGTGTGTGTGTGTGTGTGTGTGTGTGTGTGTGTGTGTGTGCGCGCGCGCATGCGTGGGCCAGTCAATCGACCAATCAGCTAAAGAAAAAAAAGGAAAAAAAAAAGTGTAATTGTGTGTGTGACACTGTCTGTCTATGAAACCGTATGAGCACGCTTACACGCGAGCGCGCGCGCTTAAGCTCCCCCCCCCCCCGTGCTCAAATGCGCTCAAAGCGTTTTCTGGCGTGCGCTCGTCAAAAAAAGAGTGCGCACACCTGAGGGGGTTGCGATAGGGGGGGTTGCGTGGGAAAAATGAATAGGTGGGTGGGGGTGCTTTTTTCTGGGGGGAGGAGGCTGGGGGGTTGGGGGGTTGGGGGGTTGTCTATGTGTGTGTGTCTTGTTTTTTCTGCTTTTTATGTTTTTTTTTTTTTTTAAATACATATGAACTTAAAAAAAAAAAAAAAAAGGGGTTGTAGATATCCAAAAGATCTACAACCTTATATTTTTTATTATTTTTTTTGTTTATTGTTTGCCTGCGAAACAATCTCTATGAAAAAAAAGAAAAACCCATCCATTTTATCTGTTTTTTTTTTTCTTTCGTTCTTTTCATGTTTTTGATGTTTTTAAAATATAGACAAACTTTAAAAAATAAAATAAAAAATACAGGGTTGTAGATCTCAAAAAGACAGTAGACTAAGTGCAGAGAGGCCCAAATTAGTGACTCTGCTTCCATTAGTGACGCCTTGGACTCAACGGCCTGGTCGTTCTTTGCATTGTTCCAATGTTAACAGATGTGTCCCGGCACCAAGTCCCACGAGCAGCAAAGAGTTTCCTCAATGCCTGAATCTGGACGTGTTTGTGGGGATGTGCGGTTGTGGAAACTCAACGCAGTTTTTCTACACATCTCTACCAACAGGTACAGATTCAGGGGTTGAGGAAACCCAACGCTGGTAGTGGGACTTGGCCCCCGAAGTACTCGGTTGGGTCCCTTCTTTTGGACCATTTCTCGATTTGTGCTTGCCATCCTTGCGCAGGGGCCATGCTAATCTTCTCTTTATCGTTCCAATTTTAACGGATGTCCCGAAGGACAGGATCCCTTCTTTTGGATTTATCTCGCTCGGCCAAGTGTCGTTGAGTCCAAGGCGTCACTAATGGAAGCAGAGTCACTAATTTGGGCCTCTCTGCACATAGTCTACTCTCCACATGCACAAAAGACAAAAAAAATGGCAATGTATCTTTCCATGTTCTAGTGGTGAATTCAGTCTCATTTTACACATCTGGGGACTCAGTGGAGAGTAGTGCAGTGAGGCCCTTGGACGTATCTGTTTCTGTGCTGTTTGTGACGTTCTGACCTCATGTTTTTTTTTGAAGGCTAACCAATTCAATTACCTGTGGAATCTGGACAGGATGGCCTTTCAGGCCTTTTTTCTTTTGTCATTCATTGTAGTATTACCGGGAACCCCGTAGCAGTCACATCTGTGCTCGAGCCTCCACGGAGGGAACGTGTGGGAGCTGCACCTACCAGCAGGTGTGATACCTGCTACAGCAGGTGGGCGATACCTGCCACTGCGGCCAAGGGTCAGGCGGTAGCATTAGGAGTGAGCTTCTTCGAGTCGATGTGCCTACCCTATGGTCCCCTTCCCCTATGAACGTCAGCAGTCTCTGCTCAATGCCTCTCCGGGGGACCAAGGGCCTATCTCTAGGTGGCGGGGGCCAACCTTGCCCAGAAAGGTACATGAGGCCAATGGGGATTGAAGCCAAGACGTCCAGAATGTCACTTGCGTGCGTTACCAACTGAGCTAAAGGACCATCTCTCGATTTAGGTGAGCCATCCTCGTGCAGGGGCCATGCTAATTTTCTCCGATTGGGCCCGGGGACAACATGCATCCCCTTAAACGACCAGTACTTGGCCCAACTATGGGCCGCGGAAAAAAATAAAGTAGAAACATTTCTAGTTGGATGAATTTGGGCGCGCCTGTAGTGGCCCGTACGTTTCCGAAAATCGCGTAGCATTAACGGTACGCGACTTTAGGAAGTACTGGTGGTTTAAATGTGAGAGGTAGCTATGCTTGCAGGGGTGCCCTGTACAGGTTTAGGAGTAGTGGAAGGTAGATAGTGAACGGTGAAATTGAGAGAAGAATATAGCTTAGCTTATAACTTTATAGAAGAAAAAAAAGAAATCATCTCTGAAGGATGTCGGCCGCTCAGTTGGTAAGGCACGCAAGTGGCATTCAGGAGGTCTCGGGTTCAATCCCTACTGGGCCCATGTACCTTCCTGGCCATGCTTGGGCAGCTTGGCGCCTCCCACCTAGAGATAGCCCGTTGGTCCCTGCTGACGGTCATAGGGGGAGGGGTAATCGGGGAGGCACAGCGAGTGGCCACTCAGATGATGCTCGGTCCCTCTGCTACTGGCTGTACCCTGGCTGGTGCCGCCCATTGGGGGTTGAATTTCCCTGAAGACAATAAATAGAGGCCACCCTGGCCTGAACAGTCCACCCGGTGTCAGATTAGACATAAGATTGAGTTTTACTTGGGCTGGTTAGTCCGATGATAATACCTCAAGGCCATCGCCCTTTAAAAACAAACAAATAAAAAATTTTAACAGATGCCCTGCCGAACAGATTCCTTTTTTTCAAAAAAAAAAAAAAAAAGAAACCCTTGGTATCAGGTTGGAGTGCTGATAAGAGCATACACTCCTACCTGACCCACTGGGGACTCCGGTCTATTGGTGGGGAGCTGCACCTGCTGGAAAACGGGTCCAACGTCCCTTGTGTTGCAATACTGAGAAGAAAAGATAAACTCTTGCTGGGAACCGGGCCCAGCGTCCCCTGTACCTCTTCACCCTCAATAGAGTGGCGCCGGATTGAACGTTTAAGCTTTGGTACTAATGAGATAATGGTGACTCTGCTTCGATCTGATGTGACCATGCGTGTCATTC